TTTTACTAGAACAACCTGCTGAAGTTGAACAAAAATGACCAAAATTGTCCCGCTTTAAGTAAATGTATGTTTTTTTAGTAATTTTTTTTAGTAAGTACCCTCTAATGTAACAAAACAACTAAAAGTTGCAGAGGAAAAAAATATATTGTCAGACATGTATTATTCACTGTATTCTAGTAGAGACTTCTTAGACATATTAACTCGGGAAAGACTGCAGGTTTAGGATGACAGTAATACTATATTATAGTGTCAAACACAACAAGAATGGAAAAATACATTTGTATTTTAATTTTATGGTGTGTGTAAACTGCACTTATACTGATCATTGTGCATCGTCTGTTCTCCTCGGTCAAGACAAGCATTCTTCAAATGAATTGCATCCCTTTTCAATTATCTAGTCTAGTTTTGCCAACTAAATCTCTATTAAATTTGTTCTTTGCTGAGCTCCTTAACTACAACATTCAAGTCTCACTACTTCCACTTAGAAGCATATTTTCCAAAATCACCAACTGTCAGTTAGATCTGTGATAATGTATTCATCTCCAGCTGGCTCTTTCTTTAAAAACCCGAGAAACTGAGCAGAAATTAAACATAATGGCAAACTGATTGTTACAGCAGGTTTTTGCAATAAAGGCTATTTTAATTTGTGTTGCTTTTAACTGCTTTTTACTGAAACTCTTTTTACACAAGTAGAAGCACAACATTGTAACTAAAAGGCTAATAATTCTCTCATAGGTAATTAAATTGTATAGTTCTGTGTGTAACGCTCAGAGGAGAACAAATACAGCTAATCTACATTCTTTTTGAATAGATTAGGGCAGTTTGCAGCACCCGCCCCCCACCATTATGGAGCAGAGTTTCTGTTTTAATCTTAGACAGCATGTTGGTCTTCCTACACACAACCGAGGTCACACTCTGGATCTGGGGYCTCATGTATCAACAGTGMGTACGMACAAAAACCWTRCGTACGCCATTTTCCACGCAAAACTCCRGATGTATCAAAACTCAGCTGAGCRWGGAAATGTGCGCGGCCCCACGCCAACTCCAGGGCTGGCGTACGCACGTTTCTGTGGTTTTGTTTCCATTGGAGACACTTAGAGGTGATTCTGAGAAACTGTTCGTGATGTGAAAATGATTATTGTTCACACCAGACACACACGATTAACAATAATTACATCCACGTGGACGCAGTTAGATAAAAGTTGTGCCAAAAATACATTTAACAGGAACAGATTCAGCCTTACTGGAGGATATAAATAGTGTAACATGCAGGGCATTTATTTATAAAATGATAGAATTTTCTGATCCATGATGACGACTGGCTCATCAGCCATTTTGAGGAAAAAATAATTTTTCAGTTTGGCGCTGTGGCACTCTGGAGCGCTGCACACAGCAAGGATCTGGTGCGCATGCACGTGCAGCAGCAGCGATTGAACTGGGGTTCCACAGGGGCTTTCCAAAGGGAGCTGGCAGACCAATCGGGACTGTGCCAGTCCAATCCACCCGAAGCAGAATCATGACCGATGAAACGGTCTCATCCATCTGAATCTAACTCTCCAACATCATGTGACGTCATGAAAACTCTCCAGTACTGAGGCGCAGTGATGAAATAAACAAAGATCTATGTTCTACCAAGCATTTAAGTTCCTCTGTTCCTCTCTAATTATGGTAATGAACTTGTGCATGAAGTTAATATTTCCAGGCTCAGAATGAATGGATGCGCCGGATGCGCGCCACAGCAACTTCACGCACACACACACACACACACACACACACACACACAC